GAGGACAGTGTCCCTCGTTTATCGTGGGGTGACGTTCTAAAAATAACCTGCGATAGATGAAATCCGCGAAGTATCAACTTTATATTTTACAAATATTCTATCTGTTTTAAGTCTGTAAAACCCCTCACCACAAACTTTATACACTTTTCTCAGACAGGACAGGTGCAACCCTTTTTACATCCTTCTTAAAACTTATTGCTGCTGTCGTCCTTATGTTATTTTCCTCTTTCTTTATGTAACAAACTGAAGATTCATTTATTCTATGAACACTATGATTTACGCACTTTCCTTCTCCAGTTTGATGTTCTTAATGGGTGATACTTCTTCTTTGAAGAATTTATCAACAACTATCAAGAAAAGAAAGACAAAATCTTAAAGGAAACAACGACGATGCTTTAGTGACACACTGAACAAAACAAATGTTATGCTCATGAATAAAACAGAAGGAACTTGTCTATGCCAGTATCGACATCATGAAATCGATATTTAATTGTAATTCTAGAATCAGTCTGAGTGAACAAGTTACTTTGTAACACCAACACTGCGCAGGAGATTACCAATCGAAAAAAAAAAAAATCTGGGTAACTGATTATTTCCTATAACTATATATAATGGTCTGCTTGTAATGAATAAAATAAAACAAAGGCAAAGGTATGGCTGTTTCAAATTTAAATTATATAGACACTGCCAAATCAAAAGTTCATTCAGCGCACCCCCTTAATAGTTTTAATTGTCCGCGCACACACCCCAATCAGTCTTTCCTCCGATTAATTTATTTAATTCAGAGTTACCAAATCCCACCGCACCCCTTTAAAACAGTCTCATAAATCCCAAATTAACGATCTTCAAACAAAACTTATATCCAAAGGGCCGCAGCAGCGGCGCGCGCTCTCGTGCGGTGCACCGCGATCCACGCGCAAAGGCAAAGTACATGGACTGATCTCATCGGGTCGAGCTGGGTCCTGTCGGTCTGATCTTTGGCACCGTATACGTGGTCCAAACCGGTACAGTCAGTTAGTAATCCATGTTACGTCCTCTTAGATCCCGAACAAGCGTCAGCGGCACAGCGGTGAGTTGGGGCGGCGTGCGCGCGCTCACACGTGTGTTTCTTTATACTATTAGGCGCGCGTCAGCTGACGGGGCGATCGGCCACAATCCACTTTATGAACAAAGAAAAATACACTTAACAATATTATGTTGCCTGGGTTACAACATATCAATGAATGACTTAATAGTATTGTTTTATTCATGAGCATAACATTAGTTTTGTTCAGTGGGTCACTAATGTGTGGTCGTTGTTTCCTTTAAGCTTTTGTCTTTCTTCCCTTGATAGTTGTGGATAAGAATATTTATCTTTTGTGGAGTTTGTTGGTTGAAGATTTGGTGATGGGGCAGATTTATGAAGCTGCTGGAGAATACAACACACATTTACACACACACTTACACAGATATTGTGCCACAGAAAATCATTAACCAGAAGTGACATTCACCCGACATCGCAGCACTTCTGGCCGTTGTGAAAAATGTCTGTAGGCAGGTGTTTGTATCAGGAACACAGAAGTAAGTCTTTATTTATATAGCACTTTTCTCAGACATATGTCATGACATCACTCATGCACACACCACGTTCTTACTAGGTAATGTGGGTGAAGTGTCTTGCCTAAGGACACAACAACAGTTTTTATGTGACTGGCGCCCCACTGTGGCACCTGATTTTCCCAGTGTCTCCCATCCAAGTACTGACCAGGCCTGGCCTTGCTTAGCTTCTGAGACCTGACGGATAAGACTTTGTCAAGCTGGTGTGGACAGATGGCTGTAATCAGGAGTCTTTTGTGATGTCATGTAGTACTTGAAATTGTAGAGGACATTGAAGATTTTAAGATTTTTGCCAAGAAAGCTGAAAATCTACCAAGTTTGTGCTAAAATTGCCAAAAAAAAACTAACACTAATGCCATGAAAAAAACATAGAGAAGCCAGAAAGTGGATTTAGTTCTGCTTTAAAGGAAACATTTCTTGTGGAGGATCCGTCACCTGCTTGTTTCTATGGAGATGTCACTGCTCTTGAATGTTGGCATGTTCCACAGTGTGACATTAAACAGCACAACTTTACATTTATTCAATTACAGATGGTTTTATAGCTCAAAAATACCTCGAAAAACAAACATTCTGACCCGTAACTTGGTCGTCTAGTTTGGTCTCCTTGAAGATAGAACGTTTTAATGTCATACTGTGGAACATTCCAGACAAAGCAATGACATCTCCGTGGAGAAAAGCATTTGACGAACCCTCCACTAGAAAAAATGTGTCCTCTGCGTTTGCCCCGTCCTTCAGTGGGACCATCTCCAGATCTTGAACTGATTGTGACTTGTTTGTTCATGTTTGGGGCTGAAACCAGAGGAAGCCCACGCAGACACGGGGAGAACATGCAAACTTGAGGTGTTTCATCCCACTTTAATTAAATAAAAACATCTGTGACTCATTCTGGTTCCTTCCAAGCATGTCTGTGTAATACTTAGCAGCTGTTGTTTTTAGCCTTATTTAAGCTGCTTCCTTAATTAAAAAGAAAATGTCAGAAAATATCAAATCCAACAGATACGCATGAATGAAATCAAAAATATGAGTCATTTTCACAAAGAAACTGGTAGATTTTAAAAGAATAAAAGCCTGTTCTGGAGAATACATGGAACAGTGTTTAAATTTGGGTTAATTTCAAAAGCTTAAAGGTTCATTGTGTAACTTTTCTGGTGGAGGGTTTGCCACCTAATTGTCTCCGTATGCCAGATCATTGTTAAAAATACCTTAAAAACAGTTGACATGGAAATAATAATTCCAAATTGAGGTTTACACGGAAAACTTCTTAAATCGTCTTTACTTATTTGGGTTCAGCGTCTGGAGGTTGGGAAGAGTTTTGATTGGACAGAGACGCCAACTTATTTATGTCGACGGGAAGAAAACACACACTTCAGCTGCTACCTACTTTTCTGTCATCTCAGTTAGTCGTTACTCCACGGACACAGACATGATCCAAACTTTTCCCGCAGTGGTTCCGATGATAATTGAGCAGCAGCTGGAGAATTCCCTCATCACGCTTTACATCTGTCAGTTGAGGAGGAGAAGTGTCGGAGGAGGGAGGAATGATGACTTAGGCTACGTTCAGACTGCAGGGCTTAACACTCAATGCCGATTTTTTTTGTGAAATCCAATGTTTTTGTGAGGTCGTTCACATTTCCATTTAAATGTGACTTGTATGTGACTCCAGTGTGAACATTAAATGGCTCGAAAGTGTCCCACATGTGCACTGGAGACACGATGACGTCAACCGCAGTGAGTGTGCTCTGTGTTTACAGAAGTTGTCCAAACATGGACGCAGCATTGAGCACCTGGAGATTTTAAAGTTCCTCTCGTACCGGAGCCAGAACATGAACAACTTACTTGTTTTAAGGAGGAGATTGAGAAGGAGAAGGACAAGGTTTTTTGGTCATGTTTTTTTGTGGGACAGAACGTTGAAAGGAACGTGTGGATGTGGAGACGGTAGCCAAGAGTGGTGAGTGGTGATGTGCTTCACTTCAGTGACACGGAGTTCATTAACAATTTTTGTATGACGAGAAGAACGTTTGTGTACATTTGTGGCTTGTTGATAACGTGTAGGTGGATGAATGCGCCTTGGCCATTCAGACTGAAGTCACATGTTAAAAGATCAGATATGTATCAGTTTTAAGAGCACATATCCAAGGCTGCGTTCAGACTGCAGCCTGAAGTGACCCAAATCTGATTTTTTTTTAGCTCCTATGCTCCTGTATCTGATCTTTTAATGACCACACAGATCTGATTTTTTTTCAAATGTGACCCAGGACACTTGGATATGTGCTCCTGAAACTGATACATATCTGATCTTTTGACATGTGACTTCAGTGTGAACGGCCAAAGTGCATTCATCCACCTACACGTTATCAACAAGACACAAACGTCACTATTCTGCACTGAAGTAGCAAAAATTGTTAATGAACTCCATGTCACTGAAGTGAAGCACATCACCACTCACCACTCTTGGCTCCGTCTCCACATCCACACGTTCCTTTCAACGTTCTGTCCCACAAAAAACCACGACCAAAAAACCTCGTCCTTCTCCTTCTCAATCTCCTCCTTAAAACAAGTAAGTTGTTCATGTTCTGGCTCCGGTACGAGAGGAACTTTAAAATCTCCAGGTGCTCGATGCTGCGTCCATGTTTGGACAACTTCTATAAACACAGAGCACGCTCGCTGTGGTTGACGTCATCATGTCTCCAGTGTCACATGTGGGACACTTTTGGGCCGTTTAATGTTCACACTGGAGTCACATACAAGTCACATTTAATTGGAAATGTGAACGACCTCACAAAAACATTGGATTTCACAAAAAAATCTGAATTGAGCGTTGAGCCCTGCAGTCTGAACGTAGCCCAAGTGTCCTGAGTCACGTTTGAAAAATCAGATCTGTGTGGTCATTAAAAGATCAGATACAGGAACATAGGGGCCAAAAAATCTGATTTGTGTCACTTCAGGCTGCAGTCTGAACGCAGCCTATCATGATGACGGTCTGAACAGAAGACACAAAAGTGCCGTTGCACCTTCGCTTTTTATTCTGTGTTTAGACAAGTGTTTTTAGGAGGAAATCTGCGTGCATACGGTGACACAAAAGTGTGTGTACTGTATGTATGTGACATAAACTCATACGCAACGTGAGTAGATCTGACCAGACTGTTGTGTCTTGGGCAGTGTAGACGGAAACGCTACGGTGGAGTGTTTTCAACTTTTCCATTCTGGAGGTGGTTTCAGATTTTTGTGTTTTTAAGCCCCAAAAGCACCATCACCGTCTAAACAAAATCTAAAGCTAAAGCTCATGCTAACTGGGCCAATTTGCCTCTTTCTTGTCAAAAATGTATAAAAATGTGCGTGCCCTGGATTCAGTGGCCTCTGTGATTTCAAGTACTGCATGACATCACACAGCACTGCCCTGATAGGACACAGGTGTTTATGATACAAACACATTTGTAGACACATTTGAAGTGTGGATACCTGTTCGACCAATCACACTGCTCCTTATACCTCTAGACCTCCCCCTCACTCTCCCCTTTAAGGCCTGGTCATACGTTATAAGACGTGTTGGGAAGGTGACTTTTAAAATGTATTCCCCTACAGATTACAGATTACATACTCCAAAATGTAGTTTGTAACAGAATCCATTAAATTACTTAAAGTGAGTAACGTAATCTGAATACTTTGGATTACTTGATATTGTCTTGCTTTTTAAAACTGCATGAATGTAGCAACCACATCCTGAAAATTCTTGTTTGTTCTCTTCAAATTGTCTGTTGAGCCCAAGTCTCCAGGAAAAAGAAACTGTTTTGCTGTAGAGAAACAAAGACCAGGATCTGTTAACATGCGATGTTTTGTCTGTTAAAAGATGATAACAAGATCAGTCTTTCCTGAACCATATTAAAAATATTATTATAGAGAAATTATTTTTTATATGAGATCATCTTAAATTATGTCCAACCTACTGTTAGGTGTCATATTGTTTGGACCTGGTTTTAGTCCTGGTTTTAGTCCTGGTTTAGTTCTGGTTTTAGTCCTGGTTTAGTCCTGGTTTTAGTCCTAGTTTAGTCCTGGTTTAATCCTGGTTTAGTCCTAGTTTTAGCCCTGGTTTAGTCCTGGTTTAGTCCTGGTTTAGTTCTGGTTTTAGTCCTGGTTTAGTTCTGGTTTTAGTCCTGGTTTAGTCCTGGTTTTAGTCCTGGTTTAGACCTGGTTTTAGACCTGGTTTAGACCTGGTTTAGTCCTAGTTTAGTCCTGGTTTAATCCTGGTTTAGTCCTGGTTTTAGTCTTGGTGTTAGTTCTGGTTCAGAGGCTCACAGGAGGAAGTGCGGTCTACACAGCGTACGAGAAAAAACACAGTCCACACGCGGCGCACGGGAGCACGTCGGTGTCCGCGCAGTAACTACGGAAGGAAACGTGGTCTGCACGTTCTCAGGTTAATGACGATGATGAAGGTGTGTGTTTGTGTGTGTTTGTGTGTGTTTGTTTGTCTTTGTGTGTGCATTCCCTCATGTGGCAGGTCACTTTAGGACAGTAGTGCAGATATCATGAGTTTAGGCAGGTTGTTTTCACCAGTGCCAGTAGCTCCGGTTTGACATTTAACTTGTAGGCGATTTTATATTTGTTATTTTTTTATATATCTCACGTCGGGAGACACAAATGTGTTTTTCCCTGTGCACTGCTGCCTCTGTTCTACTGGCTCTTCGACCTCATCCACTGTGTGACTGACGCCGCCAACGTTAACATGATGTTTACTGTCGCGTTCTGTTTGGGTTTCCGGCAATGAGTGGAATTACCGAAATAAAAAAATAAATAAATGGGATGTAGCACAAAATGTGAAAACAGGAAAATACCGCCATGTAATCCACTTATTTTAGCAAAGTAACTGCAATCCATTTACCACTCATTGAAACAGTAACTGTAACGGAATACAGTTACTCATAATTTGTACTCTGATTACGTAACAGCAGTACATGTAATCTGTTACTCCCCAACACTGGTCATAAGAACATAAGAACTTTGTTGTGCATCAAGGAGCTGGCCCAACAAAATAACATCATTTTGTCGGGCCAATGGTTTATCTGCTGGAGCCATGAGATCCAGTGGCTGCTTTCTTGCCGGTGCGGAGCAAGAAAAAAACAAATAAATAAAATGGATGGATGGAATCACAGCTGACGCTCAGTGACGATAAAGACACCAAATGGCAAGAAATTCATGGAGGGAGATTGCAGACATTTTAGACTCGGACGAAAATCGGTGTAGAAAAGTCTGGCGTAATCTCCATGACAATTTTGCGAAGGCGAACTTGTCACGAAAGGCGAGCCACCGAACAAAAGAGCGGTCAGGCTGGAGACCAAAAAAGAAATCCCCTCGGTATAGGCGAGTTTCAGCTGACGTCATTGTTATTAAAAGCCCGCGTTGCATGCTGGGAAATATTTTGGTCGGAGGCAAGAAACACGATAGCGTCAAACACAGTGCGTAACCTCACGTATTTATCCCCGATAATAGTAAATTCTTGCTGCATTATCAGATGCACAAATAGAAGCACGGAAGAAGGAAAATGTCTTTTTCATATTCTGAGTGAAAAGAACCGCGAATTAACGGTGAATTAAACGACTTTCAAACATTCGCAGAGCAAACGTAGAAGATCCTAACAAACCGTGGACTCCAACAAGTTCAACAACACATCGAGACTCTTGGAGGTTTTCATCTTTTCTGCTGTGAATGACCCAGGAGTTTCCACCAAGTCATTGTGGATATCACCCAAGTGAATATTTGTCCAGGTAGTTGGTGATTCTGACCAGAAATTTGGTTTGGTCCACCTTTTGTCGGGGTTGAAAAGGGTGATTTGGCTCCATCGATGCTTATGACCAATTTCTGGTCAAATGGTCTTGGGTCCTCTGCCGTTAGAGTGGATAAATAACTGGGATCAATACCCTTTACGTGCTTTCTCGCTCCGTCCGTCATGTTGAATTAGTGTTTCTTGCCGCCGACCAAGATAATTCCCAGCATGCAACGTGAGCTTTTGTCAACAATGAAACTCGCCTATAAAGCTCCTAGTGTTTGGACTCCTTCACCAAACACAGGGAAATGTCACCAACATGACTCCAGTCAAGTCAAACGGAGGGAAGATAATAGGAGTGAAGGGGCGCGGCGGAGAGACGGGGCCTGGCAGTTCGGCAGCGGAACATCTTTTGACGTATGAAATGTCAGAGCCCAAACGTACTTTGTTCTTGAGCAAAGTTCTTCTGAAGTATGAACAGGCCTTTAGTCGTCCAGACCCCCCCCCCCTCACTCTCCCCTTTAGTCCTCCTGCTCAGTCACCAGCTCTGTTTGAAATCTGTTTTTCGGGGGAGTTTAGGTCTTTAGTCGCACTTGAACTCCAGAACACGTCATTATAAGTTGTGTGAGTGTTTGGCTGAAAGAGTCCTGATGGGTTAATGCAGTGTGAATGAGTTTGAACAGCCCTTTTGTCTCTCGATGGCCCTCCGTGCATCCGGTTTGTCACACTAGACCCAGATCCACATGTGAAACCCAGTTGAAAGTACTTGTGTTGTACAGTTTTATCATTTCGCCTCATGTTAAGAAGAGTTTCATGGGCCAAATCAGTGCTCAAAGAAAGAGAGGACGTCATTTAAAGCATCTGTACCTGATTTTTCCTCATGTATTTGAGCACAAAGTGTCTTGTATAAGCAGCTCTTTAGGTCCAGATAAGTCTGCTGTGTCCTTTCTGCCTCTATTATGAGACTTTTTATTGTCTGAGAATCAGGAAGTGCATGTTAGCATTGAGTGACAGTAGAGTTTGTCCACTGATCCAAAGGCTCTTGACATAAACATCATTGGTTGAGCATCAGATCCACTGACCCACAGGTTGTCAGTGCGATTCCAGTTCCCACAGATGAATGCTGTTGTTGTGTCTTTCGGCAAGACTCTTAACCCACCTCACCCACAGTGTTGGTGTACACTGGTGTGTGAGTGTGTGTGTGAATGGGTGAGTGGTTCTGTGATGTAAAGATCGGGTGAGCAGATTTTCAAAATCAAAAACTGGGACACGCCCAGTTTGTGGTGGTTGATAATATAAAATTGTGAAACGAGTGGTTAATCCATTCATGATGAACATGACGAACATTTTTATTTTTTTATTTTTTTATAGTTTTATTTTACCTAAACAAATGACTGAGCGATATGGATCCAAAAAATATATCTCAATATATTTTGCTATATCTTGATATGCGATATATATCTTGATATTTGTACAGGAAAAAATAACCCTCTAAAACTGAAAACTGCAAAAACAAATATGTCAAATTCCACAAGTTTTTTTTTTTTTATTTTTTATTAAAGTGCAAGAGGTAGGCAATTCATGTACGAACAAAGTGCTTCTGTCATATTTAAGATGACCAAAAATAATAATAAATAATAATTTAACAGTAAAATAAAACAAATAAAATATATTTCCTTCTTTTCATAAATAAAACAACTCAACTCAAACTCATGTTTGCATTAACTCTGTTCACCGTAACCATAACCATGAGTTCCTTTAGCGTCAGAAGCTCAGGAGGTTCATTACTTCAACAGACACATGTTCCTCACCAGTGTGAGGAGCTCTGAGGTTTCCCACAATCCACTGCAGATCAAACCCAACGTTTCCAAAAACTAAGTGACACTGCAGCATAATCTGCTGTAGTGTCACTTAGTTCATTAAAATCTTCTGCATAAATACATTTTACATGACTTTGAATTTTACAACATATAAAAATAACAACTCTAGATGCGCATCAGCCCATTTGACATTATAATGTGTTTAATTCAACTTTGTGCACATGTGTTTACGTTTTACAGAAACAAAACTTAAAACCACATGACTCATTTACATAAAGAGCTCACTCCTCTTGTCGCTGATGTGGTTCAGCTTCTGTCGGACTACAGCTCGGTGGAATATGAGTGTTCTCTCTGTGAGGATGTGCTGCTGATGGTTTTGTCTGTAAATAGTGGAAAAGTTTCGTGGTGCTAGAAGTTTTTCACTGGCACCAACTTTGGGCTTTCATGGCAGCAGTGAGGAGTGAATGAGACACAAGCAGTAAAATCGGGAGGGGGGACGCACACAGAGAAGGCAAACAAACGAAGCGGCGAAATCAAGGAACACAGGACTCAAAACTGGGACTGTCCCGGGTAATAATAAATAATAACAATAATAATAATACATTGGACTCATATAGCACTTTTTTGGACACTCAGAGACGCTTTACAAACAAATAAAAAAAATAATAATAAAAATAGGATAAATAGGGATGTCTTGTCTCAGACCTCATCCAGATTTATACCCCTACACGCTCTGAGGTGCAGCTCCAGCCTGTGGGGCCTAAAACAAGACTTGGCCATAGCAGCTTGTCAAAGCCTGATCCTGTCAGATGTCAGAAGCTCAGCAGGGCCGGGCCTGGTCAGAACTTGGATGGGAGACACTGGGGAAATCAGGAACCACAGGGGGGCGCCAGTTGTGAAAACTGTTGTTGTGTCCTTAGGCAAGGCACTTCACCCTCATTGTCTAGTATGAAAGTGGTGTGTGTGTGAGTGATGGTGGTGGTCAGAGGGGCCGATGGCACAGATTGGCAGCCTCACTTCTGTCAGTCTGCCCCAGGGCAGCTGTGGCTACAGTAGTAGTTTAACCACCACTGGGTATGGAGTGGATGAATATTGCTCTTTAAAGCGTCTTCGAGTGTCCAAAAAAGATATATAGAAATAGAAAAATGATGCATTATTATTAAAACCAGGAGGACAGGACCTTCTCTGTGACTGACCCCAAACTCTGGAACACTCTGCCCCCCAGCGTCCCAACAGCCCCACCGTGGAGACTTTTAATTCTTGTTTTAAAACCCACTTTTACTCTCTGGCTGTGAGTTGTGTGCTCCTCTGTTTCTTTTATTTATTTTACTTCTTTATTGCTATTTTTAGGATTTTTATGGTTTTTGCTTTTATTTGCTTTGACTGGTTTTATTGTTTTAGGACTGGTCTGACCAAATTTTAGCAAGTCACCTTTTTGTTGTCTTAATTTTTTAATCTTTGAGCAGCACTTTGGAAACTGCTTTGTTTGTAAAATGTGCTGTAGAAATAAAGAGGGTTTGGATTTGGTCACCCTCTGTAAATCTCTTTGAGCGTCTTAAAGGTGGAAAAGCGCTATACAAAAATGTGACTGTTTAGCATGCTAGTTGTTATTAGTTTGACTGTCAAGGCAAAACTGTGGCTCTGGTCTCTGAAAGTTGTGAAAAGCTTTTATAAACTCATCATGGTGAATAATGAGGATGCTCTGAATGGATACGGGAAGTGAGGGAGAACTTTGGACCACTGCAAAAGTGTTTACAGTGAACGAGTTCTGTTTTTCACGTTTTCAAGACAGTCAAAATCAAGTACAATGCTGTAACTGTCAGATTTCAGATTTGTTGACCTGGTTTATGGTTCATATCTCTAATTCCTGGGCCTATCCTCGTGAAACAAAAACTGGCTCATAGTTCAGCCTCTTTCCTGTCACGAGAAATAAACAAAAGTGAAATTATTTTAAACAACAGCTTCAGAAAGTTCAGCCATTACTCAACCCCAAAGACCTGAGTGTACGTCATATAACATTTTAGTTATATAATGTCCGTCACCTGACTGTTTCTATGGAGATGTCATTTCTCTGCCTGGAATGTTCCACAGTGTGACATTAAAGGGATAGTTTGGGGTTTTTGACATGAATCCCCGTGAGCGTGTCGTGCATCAACACTGATTTACCCCTGACAGCGTCCGGTGAGCCCAGATACTGACCATTTTCAGTGCTGACGAAAGTAGTTCGGCAAGTTGGCTGGGGACATTAAAATAAAGCGTTTTTCTTCCCAAAACAATATGTGTTCAAAAGAGTGATACATTTGCATCACAAAACCATCGTCCTCAAAAAAGTCAAACCTCATAATCGCTTGGCACTATTTTCTCTCTGTTCGCATCACTGCGCTCAGCCGCGGAGCCACAGTTGGAGCCATGAGAGACCGAGTGAGCCACAATCACCATCACGTCATTTATAAACTCGTCTACAGTGAACATAGAGCTGTGACTGAAACATGGACGACTAATAGAAACATGGAATCATCCACACGTCCATGTAGCTGCTGCCAATAGTGTACGAGACATTTACAATAGTAAAAACAGTCGACATATAAAGTTAGGTTTTGTAGAAGCTTCACTGGTGATATGACACTGAGTGATTTACAGATGATTCTTGATTGCCTGTTCGCTTGTAAACATAGCGGCACCTCTTTGTTTTTACCTGGGTGCAGGTACAGCATTGCTCTTCAAAACAGATTTCTTCCTCTGTTCTGGGCATGAAGGAACATATCTTCGTCGCTGAATTGGTTTCCACATTGAAGTCTAAGGCAAGAAGCCAAAGTTGCCTCAGAGCAAAGTTCATGACAGGAAAACAGTGAAATGTGTGTGGAGATTCAGCCAGATTTTTGTTGTTACAGCCTGGAGAATCAAGAGTTCGCACCATTTTTTAGATATATTCATATGTATCTTATACAAGCTTATATACTTATCACTCTAACTCTCACGTTCGCTCTCTCACGTCGCGTCACGTAAACACTGCCGAACAACTGCAGAAAGTGATGGATCCGTGCACGGCTGTCACCTGGCGGCCGCGCGCAGTGATACGAACGGAAAGAAAATAGTGCCAAGCGATTATGAGGTCTGACTTTTTAGGCAACGATGGTTTTGTGATGCAAATGTATCACTCTTTTGAACACATGTTGTTTTGAGAAGAAAAACGCTTTATTATACAGTCCCCAACTTGCAGGACTACTTTCGTCAGCACCAAAACCGGCCAGTATCTGGGCTCACCGGACGCTGTCAGGGGTAAATCAGTGTGGATGCACGACACTGCTCACAGGGATGACATACAGATTCATGTCAAAAACCCCAAACTATCCTTTTTAAACAGCTTTACTTTACATTTATTCTATTACAGGTGGTTTTACAGCTCAAAAATACTTTGAAAAACAGACAATCTGACTGTGAGCAGGGGTCGCCTCTCCACAGATCTGACCTGTAACTTGGTCTGATTTGGTCACCATGAAGATAGAAAGGTTTAATGCCATACTGTGGAACATTCCAGACAAAGCAGCAACATCTCCATGGAGAAAAGCATTTGACGGACCCTCCACAAGAAAAGTTACACTATGCACCTTTAATATGTTTGTGGAGTCGATTCCAAAGCAATAATTACAAAGAGAAACATTTGAGGCTCAGACGTTTGGAGCTTTCTTTAAAAAACTGTGAACCTCCGTCATCAAATTCCCAACCGTGTCCCAGTAGGATCATTTTTCCAGAACAGTTCCTCAGAATGACTCACAGTTGGTGTTTTTTTTTTTTTTTTTTCTCCACATGTTGCGCTGGTTTCCTCGGGCTCCTCTGCAGTGTCCTGAATACAGCCGCTCTTATTTTAGGCCCGTCCCCGAGCTCCAGGCCCCTGACCCAACACGGGGCCCACATACACGGGCTCAGCAGGGCGCCTCCCGCTGGACCGCTGCAGAACTGCACCACCACAGAGCCGTGTCCCCGTGAACAGTGAGAGTCAGTGAGCAGTGGTGGTGCCGGGATTCACACGACATCACAACGCTCTATTGATACTCTGCGGTGACGTCGTGCTGGGGGTGTTCCACGTGTATATCTAGGGTAGAATGTTCAGCAGTTGCCGTGGTGTCACAATGCACATATTTGTAGCCTGCAAATTGCGAAAATAGTTTTAAAATAGTCTGGAAATGCAAGAAAAACTACAAATGGATTCAAAGAGCAGATTTTCAGGAGGCTGAGATCAGTGTGAGCGTTCATGATGTTTACATGCTGCTTTCTGACATGCCGCTGTTTAAACGCTGACGTCTAATTGTTGGAGAAGCAGCATAAACATTATGTTTCAAGAGTCCCACTACTCTTTTTTTTTTTTTCCATTCATTGTTGGAGTAGCAGCACTTTACTAGTTTTCAAATATTACACTTTTCCAACATGATTAATATGAATGTGAGAGCCTATTATACATTGCGCTTCTGTATATTCAGTGGTGGGCGTCAGGGCCTGCAAGTCCTTCTCTGCTGGCCTAAAAAAAAACTCAAAACATCACAGACTCATGTTAATTATATTATTATTAAATCATTCCAAATGGTCTGTCTTCTTCCTTTCAGAGCTTTTCTGATGCTTGTGCTGCTTCCACACATGGATTTTCATATTAAAGCTTTTGACCAATCACATTTCAGACATCATTTGTTGCTAGGCAGAGTCAAAGTCAAAGAAGTCTGTGTGAGGCCTTCACAATCCGATCTGCAGGAACTCCAACACAAAATGAATGTCCATGAAACTGTTGCTTCAACCGATCAGATTTTGAGTTGGTGTCACCAGAGCCTTTAGCAGCGAATGACGTCACCAGATTCGGAGCCGTGATTGGACAGTCAGAGAGAGAACCAGCCAAAACAGCAAAGTGCATCTGTAGCAGAACCAGGACTAAACCAGGTCTAAATCAGGTCTAAACCAGGACTACACCAGGTCTAAACCAGGACTAAACCAGGTCTAAACCAGGTCTAAATCAGGTCTAAACCAGGACTACACCAGGTCTAAACCAGGTCTAAACCAGGACTAAACCAGGTCTAAATCAAGTCTAAACCAGGACTACACCAGGTCTAAATCAGCACTACACCAGGACTAATCTTGGACTTGAGTGAGAGTGAGTGACCGAGTGTCCACAAAGTGCGATCGGGCAGCAGCTGCACTGAGCCCTAGTGTGGTCCTTTCGTCTGCGGTCACCCGACAGTCTACATGGGCGCACCTTCAGGCCCGTCCTGACAAACAGTCCTGGTTTAGTCCTGGTTTAGCCCCAGCGCTCCTCACTTCTTCTCCATGCACAGAATCTCCACGTCTCTTTATCCCGTGTTTAATGTCACCATAACGTAGTTGTTGAGGAGCAGATTGTTTCAGACGGAGCACTACTGAAGACCTACGTGTGAAAAGCACGCTCCAACACTGTGTTTATCATAAGACGCTTGGGCCGGTGTAAAGCTCTTGATCAGAGAATACTTGAGCCACAGAGGACATCAGACAGTGGGAAAATGTCCTGACGGATGGACGTGGGAAACAGTCATGCATTTTATAAAAAGGGCAGCCTTCATGGGGGGCAGTCTTCAGTGCACTGTGCTGCGCTCGAGCGTCTTGTGGGAGAAGGGCGAGGAGGAGGAGGAGGAGAGGCGTGCGGGGGGATGTTGGCCTTCTCCTCAACTAATAGCCAATTATACCACAGGTTAACTGAGTAAATCACACTGGTATTTGCTTAGGAATAAAACAGACTTCATTCATAATATTGTGAGTTCAAGACAATATGTCACAGTTATTTTTTCCCTGAGTGAATCTGCACAACACTGTGTACTTTACATTGTCGTGACTCTTCTGTTAAGGGATGTGTTTGATGCTTCCAAACTGACACTGGTAAAACATGGACAAGGCATGAAAATACTAAAATAAAAAAAAGTGATCAGGGAAAAGACCAGGAGGTGGAAAAACAAGCACAAGATGAAGGTAGGCAGCTGCAAATATTTGTCATTATGAAGTTGGCTGCTGTGTGTCGGTTTTCTGTGTGACTTCTGTGTAGTTGTTGAGGTTAAGAACATTGGAGAACAGTGAGAGACGTGTCAAACCCCCTTTTTTTCACTCTTTGTTGGGCCCGGTCAAGCAGAAGTAAACAAGCAAGGCCAAAAATTCAAGTTAATGCATCTGATATAAAAATGTATTGAACAGATACATATGTACTCTAGTTTATGAAACTGTTGACCTTTTTTCTGTACCATTTTTGGTTCTAAAGTTCCATACGTTTTAAAACAAACCATGTATGAAACATGGAACAAAAATTATTTCCCAAATTTCAAAGACCTGAAAATCATGTAAATAAATGGATGTATTTCATCATATCTTGTGTTATTCCATCTTTGAACTGTTGATGAAGGTACAGGATTTAAAAAAAAAAAAAGTATTTAAAATGTAAAAAATTGGCTTGGAAGGACTGAAATACTTTATAGAAATAGTTTCCTTTCATTTTGAAGTAATATTAAAGTATTCAGAAGAAAAAAGCAACAAATGATGTAAAATCCTGCACCTTCTACTTGTTTGTACAATTTTCCCTCTGTTACTTTTCCCTCCGTTACCATGAACTTTCTTAATAAAAAATCTCATGAGTCAAAAAGTAAGAGGTTTTTCAACCTAATCTTGTACCATATGGTAGAAAACTATATGAAGCAAATATTCAAACCAGTTTGTTAAGGATATGGAAGTGAGAACCAAGAGTTATCACTGTTTGGATTTATTGCCCCAAAAGTGCTGCATATTTCATTCCCTCCGTTACCGACATGAGTTTTTACATTTTTTGTCAACAACTTGAAAGAATATCACAGGTTTAACTTGACCCTGTTGGAGTGTAACTCTTTCCTACATTCTGATACTTTACTTATTTCAATAGTCCCTCTAGTTTCTGAATAAGAGACATTTGAATGTCAAAAATCTGCCCCTGTTTCCCTCCATTACCACTTGACCAGACCCTGTTATATTACAGCTATTTGCTAAAATCATTTAAGTTTTTTTTTTTTTTTTTTCCTGTGTTTATTAAGGCCACTTTCTGCTCGACTCGCATGAAAAATGAAGAAGAAACTGAATTCTCCTCTTCTAAATATTCCAGAGAATAAGTGACGGAGCTGGAGCAGAGATGGAGTTGTGTTTTGAAAATGTCTAAATGTTTCCTCCTCATTTTCTTTATCATAAAATTGAAACTGACTTCTCTTTTCTCTCTCTCCCCTCTTTCTCTTTCCTCTTCCTTTTTCGCTGTTCCTTCTCCGCCTATCTCACCCTCTTCTTTCCACCCTCCGTCTCTCCCTTCCCCTCTTTTAAACTCTTTCCTCTCCCCTCTCTATCTTTTTCCTTCTGTTTCTCTTTCTTCTCTCTCCTTCCTCGCTCTCTGTCCCCCTCAACTCCCTCCCTCGCTTTCCCCCTTCTCTCTCTTCTCTTCCCTCCCCCTTCTCTCCTCTTTCTCTTCTCCCTCCCTCTCTTCTCTCTCCTCCATCTCTTCTCTCTCTCATCCCTCTCTTCTCTCTCCTCCCTCTCTTCTCTTTCTCTTCTCTTTCTCTCTCTCCTCCCTCTCTCTTCTCTCGCTCCTCCCTCTCTCCTCTTTCTCTTCTCCCTCCCTCTCTTCTCTCTCCTCCATCTCTTCTCTCTCTCCTCCCTCTCTTATCTCTCATCCCTCTCTTCTCTCTCTCTCCTCCCTCTCTTCTCTCTCCTCCCTCTCTCTTCTTTCTTCTCCCTCTCTCTTCTCTCTCTCCTCCCTCTCTCTTTTCTCTCTCCCTCTCTCTCCTCTCTCCTCCTTCTCTCCTCTTTCTCTTCTCCCTCCCTCTCTTCTCTCTCCTCCATCTCTTCTCTCTCTCCTCCCTCTCTTCTCTGTCATCCCTCTCTTCTCTCTCTCTCCTCCCTCTCGTCTCTCTCCTCCCTCTCTCTTCTCTCTCCTCCCTCTCTTCTCTCTCTCTTCCTCCCTCTCTCTTCTTTCTTCTCCCTCTCTCTTCTCTCTCCTCCCTCTCTCTTCTTTCTTCTCCCTCTCTCTTCTCTCTCTTCTCCCTCTCTCTTCTCTCTCCTCCCTCTCTTCTCTCGCTCCTCCCTCTCTTCTCTTTCTCTTCTCCCTCCCTCTCTCTTCTCTCTCTCTCTCCTCCCTCTCTCTTCTCTTTCTCTTCTCCCTCCCTCTCTCTTCTCTCTCTCTCTCCTCCCTCTCTCTCTTCTTTCTCTTCTCCTTCTCTTCTCTCCCTCTCCCTCACTTCTCATCCTCCCTCTCTTCTCTCTCTCTCCTCACTCTCTCTCTTCTTTCTCTCCTCCCTCTCTTCTCTCTCCCGTTTCTCACAGATCGTCCTCAGAGGAAGAACAACATCCTGACGGCCGCCACCGAGCCGTACGACCTGTCCCTGTCGCGCTCCTTCCAGAACCTGTCGCACCTGCCGCCGTCGTACGAAGTGGCCCTGAAGCCGGACATAAGTAAATACAGCAGCTCACTGATGCGGCTGAGTATGTCCTCGCTCGCCCGCCTGTCCGTCCGTCGCCCTCCGTCTCTCCTCCGCCGCCGCCCCACCCTGACCCCGCCCATCAGATTTAACCGCGCCGGGCTGGACGCTCTCAAACATCACACCACGTTTTACGATGTCATCAGCTCGAGTCTAAACTCCGACCACGACTAAAGCTTATTTTAATCGTTGAAACAGCATGATTATTTCTCTTGTAATTTATGACTTTCAAACATATTTTTAACCAGATCGAGCTCTAAACGAGGACAGTGAAGCTTCTAAACAGAGAATATTTACTAATCTGGGTCGATTTAGACAAACTTTACTTCACAATTAAATATAATAACAAAGAGAAACATATAAATGGTAATAATACATTTTAAATAAATAGAAAAAAAAAAAAAAGCAAGCGACAGGTGTCAGTAAACCAATATTCAAACTGCAGGGCTTAATGCTTAATTCAGATTTTTTTTTTTTTATTCATTTATTTTTTTTGTGGAATTCTTTTTTTGTTTTTTTGTTTGTTTGTTTTTTTTGCGAGGTCATTCACATTTCCAACTAGAAAAGCAGTCAGAGAGCGCAGACCTCCGCCAAGGACTACAGTCCCCCTCATATTAATTGTGTTTTCCATAAATATTTGTCTCGTATCTTTCAATTTGGAATATGAAAGAGGATCCCATTGTCCATCCCTGAGTCAAATTTCATGGGGTTTGGTCAATAATGAACTGAGATATTGAGAAACAAAATCTTTGGCCCAATTTACCACAATGTTAACTAAAATTTCAAAGTGATCCAGAATCCAGGATTTCTTCCGGATCACCCCCAAAATGAAATCAGTTCTTCCTTTTCACATTTCCAACAAATAATGAAAATTTCATCAAAATCGGTCCATAACTTTTTGAGTTATGTTGCTAACAGACAAACAAACAAACAAACAAACAAACAAACGCCGGCAAAAACATAACCTCCTTGGCGGAAGTAATTAAATGTGTCATGTATGTGACTCCAGTGTGAACTTTAAACACTCCAAACAGGTCCCACATGTGCACTGGAGGAAAAAAATAAAAACATTTATTAATCATTGCATTTATATAGCACCTTTCAAGATACACAAAGCGCTTTACAGATCATTATTCATTCACTCAGCAGTCAGAAGAGTTGAAACAATAAAGCTTAACAAAGTTTATTTTGGGATTAAATTTTTTTTTTATATATATAAATAAGTATTTAGTTCAATTTTTAAATATACAGATGGTAGAACAGCTGGATATATAGATTATTTTGGATACATTTATGTTTTTCTGCCTTATTTCATGTTCAAAGTACATTTTATGTTTTAAACATCGCAAAACTGCTCTAAGGTTCATATTCGTAGCCAATATTTATTTTCAGTTTGAAAGTTTTGCATAAATTATCAATAACAATATCAATATTATCAATAGTTTTTTTGTTTGTTTGTTTGTTTGTTTTTGGAGTTCACAAACAAATTTCTCGAGCCATTTTCTGCTGTTAGGATCCAACAACCACACAATTACGATGTTCGAATCCCAAAACTAAAATATGACAATATCAGAACCAGAAACAAAAGTGATATGGTTCAAAAGACTTGAAAAGATCCACTTTGTCAATAGACACATCCCACTGGGAAAACAAAGTGGAAAATCCTTCCCAGTGTGGATTGCACGATGACCAGAAGTCCGCGATTCTTGATGTGTCTATTCAAGTAAAAAACATCTCTCTTCATGTTGTCTGCGCTGAAATGAATCATGGGATATGTAGTTCCCAGTGTTTATAAGCTGTTACTAAAATAAAACAGTGCATTTAAGTAAAGCAACTTGTGATTCAATATCTAGTGACGGCCCTCGACAGAATGTTCCAGAGCTCGGCCTGGTCAACCCTCGATTATTTAAAAACGTAATCATGCCTAAAACATTCCGCGGACAACATTTCTCTCATTTGCAATTCCAAAAACAAAATCAGAAAACATCTCGTGCTTATTTTTAGCCCAAATGACCCAGACTGATGACATCATAACAGCGTGACGGCTCCTTTCTGCCGCCGCCCGTCAGCCCGGCGCGGCGCAAATCCGATGTTACGCTGAACGGCCATTAGCGATTAGCGATCGGCGCACGTCAGGACCATTCTCCACAGATCCGAGAGCCGCTCACTCCTCGCCTTTCAAACGCCCCGACGCGGAGGAGGATTCCGGGACTAATTTGGCGTGAGATCGGCTCCATCTGCGGCGCGTGTCCTGTCGCTAATGACGCTAATGACGCTAATGATGCTAACGACATTGGTTTTTCAGATTGAGATGACGCCACGCTAACGTTTCGGAGCTAACTGATCGCCGCATGCTTCGTTTGCTCCGGATTTGATGCATGTCGTTTCAGATTTAGTCACGACTCTCTCAAAGTCTCATAAAAAGTGACAGCGGGAAATAACGCTAATGCTAACGCTAAGAGCTGTGAGAGAGTTACAACAAAAGTGTTAAAAGTACATTACAAACATTTTAAACACACACTACCACGTTTTTTTTTTCTGTATTTACATGATTATTTACAGTGACTCTCACTTAAAGCTGCACTGTGCAACGTTTTGGTAGAGGGTCCATCACCTGCTTGTTTCTATGGATACGTCATTGCTCTGTCTGGAATGTTCCACAGTGTGACATTAAACAGCTCGACTTTTTACTACATTTATTCAATTACAGGCAGTGTTGGGGAGTAACAGATTACATGTACCAGAGTAATCAGAGTACAAATGATGAGTAACTGTATTCAGTTACAGTTACTGTTTCAGTGAGTGGGAATTGGATTACAGTTACTTTGTTGAAATAAATGGATTACACAGAGGTATTTTCCTGTTTTCACATTTTGGGCTACTCCCTTTTTTTTTCAGTAATTTCACTCATTGCCGGACACTAAACCAAGTCTAAAACCAGGTCTAAAACCAGGTCTAAACCAGGTCTAAAACCAGGTCTAAAACCAGGTCTAAACCAGGTCTAAACCAGGTCCAAACCAGGTCTAAACCAGGTCTAAACCAGGTCTAAACCAGGTCTAAACCAGGTCTAAAACTAGGTCTAAACCAGGTCCAAACCAGGTCTAAACCAGGTCTAAACCAGGTCTAAACCAGGCCTAAACCAGGCCTAAACCAGGTCTAAACCAGGTCTAAACCAGGTCTAAACCAGGTCTAAACCAGGTCTAAACTAGGTCTAAACCAGGTCCAAACCAGGTCTAAACCAGGTCTAAACCAGGTCTAAACCAGGAAACCTAAAACCAGGTCTAAACCAGGTCTAAACCAGGTCTAAACCAGGTCTAAAACAGGTCTAAAACCAGATCCAAACCAGATCTAAACCAGGTCTAAAACCAGATCTAAACCAAGACTAAACCAGGACTAAAACCAGGTCTAAACTATGTCTCAAACAGGATTTAACAGGACTAATTCATGCTGTGTGGACCATGTCTCCTCGTCTTCTATCAATAATATTTTTAATTTGGTTCATTAAAGTCTGGGCTTTTTATTTTCTTTTAGCAGACAAAACATCTTGATTTCCTTGTCTTTGTTTCTCTACAGCAAATCAAGTAATCCAAAGTATTCAGATTACATTACTCACTTTAAGTAATTTAATGGATTACGTTACAAACTACATTTTGGTGTGTGTAATCTGTAATCTGTAGGGGAATACATTTGAAAAGTCACCTTCCCAACACTGATTACAGGTGATTTTAAAGCTCAAGTATACGTCCAAACAGACATGACTGTGAGCGGGGTCGCCTCTCCACAGATCTGACCTGGAACTTGCTCTGGTTTGGTCTCAACATCGTGAAACATTCCAGACAAAGCAATAACACCTGCATGGAGAAAAACGTTTGACGAACCCTCCACCAGAAAAGTTCCTTTGCTCAAACTACACAGGAAACACTGGAGAGTTCAAATTTCAAGATAAAATATTTGTTTGTTGTTGAGTTGTTTTTAACACAAAAAAGTGTTATTTTACATTTTTGAAAGTTAAATGAGGGTTGGAGCAACGTCCCTTAGTGTTAATTCAACTTCCTCTAGTGTTAATTCAGCTGCCCTTAGTGTTAAATCTACTTCCCTTAGTGTTAATTCAACTTCCTCTAGTGTTAATTCAACTTCCTCTAGTGTTAATTCAACTTCCCTTAGTGTTAATTCAACTTCCTCTAGTGTTAAATTCAACTTCCTCTAGTGTTAATTCAACTTTCTGTTAATTCACTTCCCTAGTGTTAAGTTAACTAGTGTTAATTCAACTTCCTCTAGTGTTAATTCAACTTCCTCTAGTGTTAATTCTTTTCCTCTAGTGTTAATTCAACTAGTGTTAATTCCTCTTAATTCAAGTGTTAATTCAACTCTAGTTAATTCAACTTCCCTAGTGTTAATTCTAGTGTTAACTTCTAGTGTTAACTTCCTCTAGTGTTAATTCAACTAGTGTAATTCAACTTCCACTAGTGTTAATTCCACTTCCCTTAGCGTTAATTCAAATTCCCTTAGTGTTAATTCAACTTCCCCTAGTGTTAATTCAACTTCCTCTAGTGTTAATTTAACTTCCTCTGTTAATTCAACTTCCTCTAGTGTTAATTTTAACTTCCTCTTGTGTTAATTCAACTTCCTCTAGTGTTAATTCAACTTCCTCTAGTGTTAATTCAACTTCCTCTAGTGTTAATTCAACTTCCTCTAGCGTTAATTCAACTTCCTCTAGTGTTAATTCCACTTCCCTTAGTGTTCATTTAACTTCCCTTAGGGTTAATTTGGCTCCTCCCACCCACCACTTCAGACTCCCGTGAGAGAAGACCAGTTTGAACCAGTTTTGTTCCTAATTTCATTTTAAATTAACAAATCTCAAATAAAGTGTCAAAATAAAACACCTCTGTGTGTTGTTTAGCTACATCAGAATAACTCTACAAAGTGTTATCTGTTTACTCTCAAAACGTTAATATTATTCTTGATTTCAGGGTTAAACAGGAACTTTGGTCCAGTGTTACTAAA